CACACACAATCACAATGAAATTCCTATTATGAATGCCAACAACTGAAACCCCAACAACCCCCATCTACATACTAAAATTTAATATTTGGGGGTGCCGAGAGTGAGTGTTTTGTTGTGTGGGTACACACAGCCATACATGCTTGCATGGGATACAACCACCAGTAGTGGCTGACGCAGTTACTCGACCGTATGTCCGTAATTTCGCATGTATGTGCTGGCATGTGTGTGGAAATCACAACCACACACACACATACAAATCAAGGCGATTAACTCCACATTTTTTATCGTCGACTAACATAAAATTATTATCAACATTTATGAACAAATAATAAATAAATTATTGCTCGCTCACTCGCTAGCTAGCTGCCTGGCTGGGTCAATTATTAGAGCTGGCGAAGTTAGCCAAATTAAATTAGGGAATTGTCAGATAGACAGATAGTAGTTATATTTATATTCTCTGTCATTATATTACATAACGTGCTGAGTGAATGAGGATAACAACATTGAATATGAAATAACTGAAAAAATATGTACAAACTATTTCAATCGGTTATAATCTAGTAAATACGCTTTTATTTATTTAGGTTGTGGCACTGAAATTATTAAGATTTAGTTTTCTTTCCGACCCTATGTTGATCTATTGATAATATTGGGTCATTGCGAAAAAAAACCTCTCTTCAGTAGTGCTATTCTGTATCTGACGAAGGAATTCCGACCAATGTCGATAACTGCATATTCGGTTGGGGAAAAAGAAATCCATTGTTATTATTTTTTTATTTATTTTTATACCCTTCACCGCACTGTGGTACAAGGTATTATGTCTTTGTTCATATTTTTGTAACAGGCAAAAATAAACGAGATAGACACATGGTTCCTTTTAAGAATATGCAAAGAATCACTTTCTGAGATGATTTATGCATGTCCGTCCCTTTGTCTGTCTATGTGAAATTGTAAACAAAGTACAGGTCGCATTTGTGATTTGAATTGGATGAAATTTGGCACAGCTCATTTATTTGGCCAAAGGATGAACTATATTGAAATTGGGAAAAATCGGTTCAGATTTAGATATGGCTCCCATTTATATTTTCATCCGATTTACTGTAAATGGTGCACCAAAGTTCCTATATATCTTTCGATTTGCACGAAATTTGGCACAACATACTCAATTGAGTCCAAAACGACGTGTGCCAAGTTTTGACAAAATCGGTTAAGATTTAGATATAGCTCCCATATATAATTTCGTCCGATTTAAGGTAAATGGTGCACCAACTTCCCTATATATCTTTCAATATGCACGAAATTTGGCACAGCGTATTGAATTAGGTCTGGAATGATGTGTGCTATGTTTCGTGAAAATCGGTTCAGATTTAGATATAGCTCCCATTTATATTTTCGTCCGATTTAAGGTAAATGGTGCGCCAAGGTCCCAAAATATCTTTATATATGCACGAAATTTGACATAGCGTACTTATATATATATATTTATATTAACTCAACTTCCCGTTACACAAGATAAAAAAAACTCATCACCTAAACAACACTAAAATGTGGTTAAATTCCATCCGTTTTTTTTTCGTTGGTAGTCAGTTAACAAAGAAATACTGAGTGACAATTTTACGTCACATTTTAATAGCTCGACATAACTGAAGTCAACAGTTCATGTTAATCAGACTTAACTTAATTTTGTTTTACAAAAACTCTGTTGGTTGCCTGTTCTATTGGATAGTATATATTTGTTTGTGAGTGTGTCTGATTGTTATTTTTATACATTTCTTATTGCTGTTTTTGTTGTTATCCATGTACGTAGTATGTATCTGAGTTTACGTATTTTGTGTTTCTATAATAAAAAGAAATAAGGAAAGACAAAAAAATAAAACTGATATAAATTACAACGAATTTGGGAGGGGTCTACGATAAGTAGATACTTGTCAATGCGAGAAATGTAACTTGAATTTACTTGGCTTTTGTCATTCATTATTATGGTGTTGTTGTTGTTATTGCCACTGACTATGATGGATGAGGAATGCATAAAACATCAAATAAAATACATTTCTTTGCTCTTTTCTATGACTTCTGTTAAGACTTTGCCCTAAATAAACTTCTTCTTCTTCTTTGAAATAAGGAGGAAGTTATTTAAGTAGCAGAGCTGCTTTAAATATTGAAAGAAAAAAAATATATATACCTTTTAGGTGTATCATTGGATTACATTAAAGTAATAATCTGTGAAGAAAATTCAATGAAATTCTATTTTAGCTGGAGGTCATTTATGAATTATTTTGGGAACTCTGGAACATCTGTTATGAAGGTAAATAAAATTTGTAACTATTAATTGAATATCTTCAATGTCGCTACTGTGTTTACGCATTGCAAACAAATGACAGTATTGACACAACTCATTCGAACTTTTGAAGGTTTTAACAGAACAAATTTCATATCATAAGTTTTATATGTTTCTGTGTTAAATCGATTTCTAGCTTGACAAATATTTTGTCAAAGTGTCAGTCGTAAGTTGCTGCTGGCACAGAATGTTTACATATTTATTGTTCTTGGAATATCAAATATTCAGCTTTCTATAGGTTGATCTATTTTTACGTCCACTTTATGAAGTATAAATGGGCATTGATCATTAAATACATGATTATTAATACATTTTATTTTTATATTATCCACAATAAGATGGAATTTATGTATTTCCTTCACAGCCCACCAAATGACAGAAAGTATTCAATATGATTTCTGATTGTCTTAGTTAGTGTTGACAATTTGAAAAAGTTGTCTTACATACATATATCACTTTTGTAGCATTTTTATTTTTTTATGGAATTGTTCACAATTGTTGGTATTATCCCAAACAAAATTTGTCGGTATTTGCCTAAATTCCCTAAAATACAGAACTGTCTAGTTATACCCTAGACAACTATGTTGTCAGGATATTATAGCTTTGTGTAGAGTTTTCAACGAGTAAAGGAAATTTTACATGTATGATGTCCAGAAGACCCGTCGCAGTGCGCTAGTTTTTGACCCAAGATAAAACCGCCCTTATGCCTCGATCACCGTCTGTTCATTACAATTTGTAAGCTCGATACTGCCCAAAGTTATGGATCAATCGTCACGAAATTTGCATGCAGTATGGGTTCTGCCTTTAGGGGATGAAATTGACCAACAACATTATTTTTGTCTGTTTTGTAGTCTACATGCCACAGTTATGACCGGAAAAATACCAAGAATCAAAAATACAGACATTTCATTTTAAAAATGTTTACCAAATCATCAAAATACTGAAAATCCGGAGTTACCGCTATGTGGAGGCTAACTGGAAAGAAATAGACCGATGACAAAAAACATAAACACAACATACCTAATAAGAATCCAAAATACCAAATTAAAAGACAATTGCAAATATCAAAATCCTTATAACACAGAAAAAACCCTTTAGATGGGGGTATTCGAAAACAATTGGAGCCGCATATCATCGGCTGCCCTGACGATTTATTAAATGTCAACAATTATCCTTGGTATGATAAAATACTGCAATTTTCACTGTTTCGTGAGTTATGTACGTTCGATTTACTCATTTTCATATAAATTTGTCATTTTGTTTGAAACACCTCGAAATCGCCGGAACCCCATAAATCTGAATGAAATTCTATTTAAATTTAGCCAAGTCCGTCTGTTGAAATCACGATAGGGATTGTAATATTTAAGATAGATCTCTAAAATTTTGCACAGCATATCTCTTGAATATTCGGTAATTTGGGGAAGCTGGACACGTTTTTTACGTATCACGTACTGAATTCGCAGTAATTAAGTTTTTTGTAGTCGTATTTGGTAACAAATCTCCCTCCCATAAATTGTTAATATTCGCCCTCTTTTTATATTAAAATACTTAACTCTTGTGTTCCGCATTTTGAGTTTTAGTTGTATTCCACCTTAGTAGAAGGATATTCGGAATGCGAATGTATGGTTTTTAAGACGATTTTGCTTCGAAGGTTCGAAAATGGGATATAATGATACCTACCGATTTTCGTTATTTGTAATATTGAGCGTGAAGGAAGGTATTGTAATGCAAACATGTTAGCTTCGAAATTGAGCTTTATCGGTCTTTATTTAGGCATAGCTCCTCATATAATAACTCATGTGATAATGCGAAATGTTCGGTAATTTCTATACGATGTAATCAGTATTGGTCCCGCTTTAGGTGTATTATCCAGGGACGTAGGCATACACATTTTTTTGCAATGAACCAACGTGAAGTAAGTCATATATCTTGGGACACTAAATTGCAGTATTTTGGGGATTTTATACACATGTTCCACCCTACCATGCGCCGTTAAAATAGGTCCACATTTTGGGATTTTGCTATTTTAGGAAAGATCTTCATTAAAGATTGTAGAAATTCCTCTTCACAAAACTGAAGACACCGACGAAAGGAAAACTTTTTTGAGGATACCGAATCTAAGCGAAAGTTCTGCAATAATTTTGAAGTACGTTTATGTGCAATCAACAATATGTTGAAATGTGCAATGTGCGGAGTTTCAAGTATGTCTTAAATCTGAAAAAGCAATGTCTATACCACATTTGTATCCATATTGACAATTTACAAGATACTTTTTTTTCAAAATCTTTCTCTGCAGATTTGTGTAGGCACTATTTTAAGTATCTGCTTTATCAGTATCTTTAGTTCCCATAGATCATATGTTTTATTTAACCAACCTAGACTTTGTGTATTTAACCCTCACCCGAAAAAGTTTAAACATATGTGTACAATAAACTTCACAGCGTATCGAATTAAATCAATACCCCAACAGCAACAACAATAATAATACCTCAAACATAATGTTGTTGTTATTGTAGTGCGTCTGGTTCGCTGAACCAAAAATTTAAAGTTTGCCAATAATTAATTTGTTTAATTATAAATTCTAGTTTATAGTTTGTTTTGATATAAATATTTGTAGACAACTGAATTTTAAAATTAGTTTCAAATTTGACTCTCAACTTAGCGCACACAATACGGTGGAGTGGATATGGAAAAAGAAAAAGTTTCTCTACTTATTTGGGTTACGCTGGTTTTAGTTATTCGGGAGAGTTTTGGAGCTCCTATTACCAAAGACAATGACGATTTCTTATTGGAAGATATGATTTTTGATACTCTTAGAAATGGTGCTATAGCTCCAGCATTAAAATGGCCCAATGCCACTGTATATTATCGGATAGATGAAAGCTTTGGTAAGCTATGGATTTGGATTATTTTTGTTTGATATTTATTTGTATTTTTTCTTATAGAACAAATCCAAAAGGATGCCATATTAACGGCCATGAATTGCATACGGGATGTCTCATGCATTCAGTTCTATGAGGCCAATGAAAATACCACGGATTATGTTAATATTATACCCTCGGAAACAGGTGCTTGCAGTTCTATGTTGGGCTATCGTGGTGGCGTTCAAATACTCCAATTCGCCAAGGAGAGGAAAAAATGTTTTAATCCCATTATTATTTCCCACGAATTGCTACACACCTTGGGCTTCTATCATGAACACATGTCATGGATGCGCGATGACTATGTCACAATAAATTGGGATAACATTGTACCGGGTAAAGAAATCTTCTTCCACAAATTGAATAATAAAACCGTCTCGGACTATGGTTATGGCTACGACTATGACAGTATTATGCACTATGGCCCGCTGAGTTTTACATTGAATAATTTACCAACAATAACACCGCATGACAGTAATGCCAAAATTGGCCAACGTCAAAATTTAAGTCCCAAAGATATTGGCAAATTAAATGCCATGTATAATTGTCCGATTAAGGGGCAGGAGATGGGTTCTCAGGAAATGGTTGGAGGTGAGGAGAATGGAGAAAGTGTAGAGTATGAAGATCTAGAAGAGGAAGAAGATGCGGATTATGAAAACAAAATTGATGGTGAAACTGAAGAAGAAGAAGACGGCGAAGGAGATGAAGAAGTTGATTATGAAGATGAAATGGATGAAGAGTTTGTAGAAGAAGAACAAAATACAAATGAGATTGATAAATAAGTGAAAGCAGATAAGGCAGAGAATCTTTATCAACAAAATGAATAAAAAATGAACGAAAAGAAAAAAAAAAACAGAAATATAAACGCAATAACTTTTTTGTGCTAATTTATGCATTTTATTTTGTGTTATTGGGGAATGCTGGATTGAACCATTCTGCAAAAAAATATTTTGCTGTGAAATAATAACCCCAAATAATTTAGGCAAAATTTAATTTTGGCAAACATTTTTATACCCTCAGCCTTATGGCTAATGAGGTATATGACCTTGAAACGACAAAAAAGTACCTTATCGAAATATTGGCTTTAGACCCCGTTTCATTGAACCAAATCCCTTTCATAGAATTTGTAGTCGCTTTACAAATGTCTGACCGGTTGGTGTGCACGATAACTCTCGAAGAGAATAACAAATTTCATTCAAACGTTGCACATCGTAATATTTCTAACAAACTTAGTTCAAGTTCGAAGATGGGGAACATCGGTTCACTCCTTCTGATACCGTCCCCACAAAATGGGGGTTTAACCCAAATTTTTACCGCAAATTTTGACCGAAGGTAGGACCTCGCGGTTCACTCCTTCTTCAAACGGTCAAAATTTTCAATATTTATAGATCCAATATCAGGCGAATGGAATGTCCGATTTGATCTAAACTTTCCAAAACCTATTGCCTTTACCAAGCCTTGATCAATCCGATGGTTTGACCCATTGACCCTCCCTTTCTGGTACCCCTCCCACGAATGGTCAACATTTTCAGTATTTAGTCCAAAATCAGGCGAATGGAATGTCCGATTTGATCCAAAATTTGCACAACCTATTATCTTTATCAAGCCTTGTTCAAGTCGGAAGGTGGGACCCATTGGTCCACTCTTTCTGGTACCTGCCCACAAATGGTCAACTTTTCAATATTTATGAATTCAATATGAGGCGAATGGAATATCGGATTTGACTTTGCACAACATATTGTCTTTACTGGGCCTAGATCAATTTCGAAGATGGGAACCTTGGTCCACTTTATAAACCCAATATCAGGCGAATGGAATATTTGAACCAAACTTGACACAACCTATTATCTTTACCAAACCTAGATCAGGTACGAAGGTGGGATGTGTCCCCTTCTTCTGGTACCTCCTCTAAAAAGGGTAAATATTATTAGGTTTGTAAAAAAGAAATCCATTATGTTTATATGAACTATAGGACTTTATTTAATATGCTTCGGAATGTCCGATATGCACAGTTTTGTTGTATGATTAGGTGAACAGGTTTGGCCACCGTTTGAGATGATTCACCGCTTTTTGAACAGGAAAGCTTATCGTATGTGATCTATTTCTCATCTCCAGTTACCATCCGTTTAAGAAATGGGTCTATCTTATTCCGTTTGGCTAAGGCTTCTCAGATGGAAAATCGATCCATCCTATTTTTTTCTGTTATGGAGTGGCACCCAAGCATCGAGTTTCTTTGTGTAAATGGTTTAAAACAGTTTCATAGTCGTTTTTTAGCTCGCGATGTTGCGACTGCTAATATGCCAGTTAACTTCGATCATTTCTCCGATGTTATCGACATTTTCGACCTGCCTAAAAAAATTTTTCCCAACTTAATATCAGTCGACAACACCAACTAAAATAATGTTTTTTTCAAAATTTCGCCATAGGATTATGTTGTGGAAAAATCATGTAACGGAGAATACTTACAATAAAGTAACGTTGAAAGACTTAAAAAACATTTTTTAAAAATTCACCTTGAAAATTAAGAAAAAAATCCAACTCTTTAGTCTCGAGAAACCCGGAAAAATATTCTTGCTTATAGTTGTAATACTCTTTGCAAAAATATTTGTTAAAAACCCATGATTTTGCTGTGACTATTTTTGGAAAATATTATGTAAAAAATCACCCTTACTCCTTAAAAATTAGTTTTCAAAAAAGATTCACAACTGTGTCTAATTAAGCTTCGCATTTTTCCTTTTTTGCCACTGTAAACAGCAATAAAACACAGTTTGTTTCATGTCCACATTGTTTTGGACATTTTTGACAATTCTTGTCAATCACAAAAACCACTTAAGAAACCTTGTTCTTAATTACCATAAGATGGTTTACACATAAAACATATTGAGGTATTGTGAGCAAATGTAATCAATTTATGGTCACTGCTGTTTGTGGCAGTGAGAAAATACGTAGACGATTAAGCTTCTTTAGTCCCAATGAATATTTCAAATATTTTCTTTAGATGAAGGGGGAGGATATGAACAGGAAAAAATAAATTAGAATTCATTATTAGATTTCATGATAAATTATTCACAAATGGTTTTGTTAAATATAAACAAAAGGGATTCCCACAACCATTCGCCAATGATGTTGATGACGATGATGATATTCATAATGAAAGTATCCTTACAGAATAAAAAAACAAAAGGTTTTTGGTTAAATAGCATCCCCGTTTCCATTACAAAGTGTTTGACTAACCCTTTAATATGGCCTCTAGCATTTGGTATTATTTTCCCAAGCTAATTAATATCAAGCGATTTACCCAGTTGCAAAAGGGAAGAAAAAAAACGAATATACGAAACAAATTTCATAAAATGAGATCTGCATCTTTTTATTTGAATCGTTGTTTTTTTCTTTCTTGGAAATAACTTCAAGAACGTTTAACAAAGTATAGCTTCCAGGTATAGAACATACCGCCGCCACCAACAATCCCCTGTTGTCCCCCCACTCACACCATATCCTGTGAGGGCAATTTATCAAATACTCCCACAATGCTTTAAGTGGCAGAGGAACAGAGAAAAATTGTGTATCACACACAAGCACACACTTTCATACTTAGCAACGTATGTATGTGTGTATATGAATTCGTCCTAAGGCATGGAGGTGTTCTGGCCAAGATGCATACAACATGGTCGTTATAATACACAGCTGTCAGTGACTGTGACGGTGGGGAAATGGTGGGCAATCGTGTCATAAAAAAATCTTCAACAAAATCAGGCGTAAAATTGTTTTTTTTTTCTTTCTGTCTTTTGCTTTGTTTTTTCATTCTGTTTTAGTGGTTTGGTTGTAAATTATATTTGCCAATAAAAAAAAAAAAACGTAGATGTAAATTAAATTCTTTATTATCGTTAAACCTAAATCTGTGATTTTGTTACTTTAGCTACAAGGGAGTAAGATGTGGGATTCGTTTTGGATTAGTATATTATCTTTTGAGAAGTTGAATATGAATATGGCTGATTTGGAGGAGCAAGAAAATTCAATGTATGTGTGTGAGGGCATTTTAATACAACACACAGTAATATATTTTTGAAAGTGGTTTAAGTCAATTTTATGTTCATATACACATCTTGGATTTGTAGAAAATTGTACATTACAAAATTGCACAAATCCGTAATCGAAATTAATTGCACAATCTGTGAAAAAAATCAAACCCAAACCTTTTAATATATAACAAAAAATGGACTTAAACCACTTTCAAAATAAACTACTCATTTCTAAACTTCTGGCGAAATATTTCCACATCGTTGGAGCTGTCAAATACAGTATTGAAGTTGAGTATTTTAATAGTGGTCAACTGTGGTGCTTTGGCGAGTGCGTTTGACTTTATTTCATTTTGTATTCGGGACACGTATTCTCTACTAATTTGGTGCAAACTGACAGTTTCGTAACAGGGTACAGAGGGTCTAATTTACAATGTTTTTCTGTCCTAACTATTTGATAAGATTTGTTCATTTCATAGTGCTAGCACTATTTGCGACGCTTCTTCAGGACTTCTTTATGGGTATACTTAGGAATTGATTTGAATAAATTTTCGAAATAAAATGATTTACTTTCAAGGGAGAACACACATTTACAAATGTAATACTCCAAAAAAGTGCTGTAAAAGAATATTTTTTTAAAAATCTTCGTTTATAGCTGCGACAGTTGATGGACAATGAATATTTGACAATAATCGTTGTTTTAGTCTCAGTATACCAAAAGAAAACAAAGGACGTTGTCGCCCTGATGTTGTCAAGGGCTACAGAAGTTTTCAAAAGGGGTTGGGGAACACATAAATAAGATCCATATACAAAATTATTAAAAAGGCATATCCCATTTTAATGTATAATTTTTAGTTCGTAGATCTAGATCAGATCCGTATAAAATATTTTAAAAAAACATGATTGTCCCATTTTATTGACCAGAAGAAGAGGACCGACCTTCGGATTCCATCTAGTATTGGTAAAGATAATAAGTTGTGCCAAGATTGGTTCAAATGTAACATTCCTTTTACCAGATATTGAATTTATATACGTTGACAAGTTTGACCCTTTGTGAGGGAGGTACCAGAAGTAGTGGACTAATTAGTCCCATATTCGGACGTGATCTAGGCTTGTCAAAAAATAGGTTCTGCAAAGTTTGGTTCAAATCAGACATTGTATTCGCGGGATATATGAATTTACAAAATATTGAAATTTTTGTGGGTTTGTTGGGTACCATATTTGGACAATGGGTACCATCTTTGGACATAGTCTAGGCTCGCTAAATATAATATGTTGTACAAAGTTTGGTTCAAATTGGACATTCCATTCGCCGGATATATGGATATATATATATATATATATATATATATATTGAATTTGATTATTTGTGGGGAGGAACCTAAAGGAGTGGATCCCATCTTCGGACTTGATATAGTCTTGATAAATATAATAGGTTCTGCAAAGTTTGGTTCAAGTCCGACATTCCATTCGCCGGGTAATGGACTTATAAATATTGAAAATGGAACTTTTATGAAGGTTTGATTTAAATCGGACATTGCTATCTCCTGATATTGAATTTACACACATTGAAAAAATCATTCTTTGTGAGGGAAGTTCATGAAGGATTGTGCCAATTTGTCTCATTGGCTTGGTAACTTTTAGAGGTTCTGCAAAGTTTGGTTCAAATCTGACATTCCATTCACCTGATATTGAATTTATTAATATTGAAAATGTTGACCATTTGTGGGCGAGACACCAGAAGGAGCGGAGCAATTAGTCCCATA